GTCGGAACGAAGTTACGGAAAATTAATTAACAAACGAAGACGTAACACAACGAATAGTAGGATTGACCGTTTGGTTAGATGGATGGGTATTCGAACCCCTCAGAAATGAGGGGATAAGTACTACCCCACAGTATACCCTCACCTCACATTTCATAACTTACTGAAATAAATAAATTTTGCGAAATCAAGCTTGACCAAAAGAAAAGAGGCAGAAAAGTGCAGTCGAAGCAGACAAACGTTGGTAAATTCCTTTGTGAGCCAATCAAAATTAAGATCATTAATGAAATGAGTTCATAGCGTATTCGTGGAATTTTTTTTTTAATCAGTTAGATTAACGACTTATAATATATCGAAAAGACAGTGTGTTTTGGTAAAACTACGTTCCAACAATGACTTTTATGTCATGTTGCTTAGCAACATAAGTATAACCTAATATTGTTGTTATTCTGTGTACTGAATGTATAAAATAAAATGTATAGACAAAAAAACTGGAAGAAATATTTGATTTCTTAATTTAGAATCTCCGTTGATTGAAAAGGTTTGTAAATTATTAAAAACGTTGGTTACATAACGGAAAATAACTTAATTCAGAAAAAAAATTAAGTTTAAAATTAAACTGATTACAGACTAGCAAACTATACTTCGGCAGCCTATTGTGTTCTTTATCTTTAACAACATGTAACCCAGTGGGAAAGCGTTAAGTTTACGAATTACGACGCCAAAATCTTGGGTTCGATTCTTCACGGTGGACCCAATGTGGCTTTGCTCTAATATAAACAAACAAACCTTTTTACATTATCGTTTTTTTTACAGTTAAAAAACATAGATATAGATATTTTACGACATCTCTGTTGTCAGTTATTTTGATTTCCTATCGATATTTAGTTTCAATCGTTATTAGTTCATGTATCATTAGCCAATCCTGTTCATATTTAATTTCTACCGTAGTTTGTTCATAAATCATTAGCCAATCCTATCAATATTTAATTTATATCCATGAGAGTACACAAATCATTAGCCAACCCCCTCGATATCTAATTTCTATTGGTGTTAGTTTATAAATTTAGTTTCTCTCGTTGTTAGTTCATAAATCACTAGCCAATCCTGTCGATATTTTATTTATATCGTAGTTAGTTCATAAATCATTAGCCAATCCCGTCGGTATTTACTTTCTATCATAGTTAGTTCA